AGTCAGGGATTGGTCCCTTTAAGGGTGATGGAGGACACACATTCTCAATTAAGAAGCGGTAATACACTCACATGTAGTAAATTAATAAAACGCCATGAAATCATCAGATGCAGGCTTCACTTGTTGTCAGCTGAACTCACTATTCATGTCTGCCCAGAGCCAAGCCCCTTATGCGTTACATCAAGCCCACGTGACTTCATCAGGGGGATCAGTTTACATGGATGAGACAATCCATTTACCACTGGCAGGGGTGATACATGTGATCTGCTTTTGTTTATTCATGTACAACCTTTATCCAAACAGGAAAAAAAACTGCTGTTGTAACTAAGTGTGAACTGGAGTTTGGCTTCAATTTGCTATTGTATTCAAATCTGCTAATTTACCAATCCCCCCCCCCATTCCCCAGACTGATAATGCTGCTGTCTGCTGTTCCTCCTGTGCTCATTCCTCCTCAGTTGTGTCTCACTAATACAGGAGGTGTGTTACTGGCCAGATCACCAGGTGAAAACAGCGGGAAAAAAGCCAAAGAAAAGAAAACTGATGCACCCACCACATCTAATGACTGATAATCTGTAATATAATACATTTTTAGTTTTAGGTTTAATGCTGCATTAAAGTCTAGAATAGCATGATATATCTCCATGTTTTCCCTTACATCTCAACACTTTAAAGTATCAATCACTTTTCAGCGATTTGGCGATTCACATAGAGTAATGAAGTTCATGATTCTTTTATTGAGTCACCGAGACATTGTTTTGAGGAATTCCTGTTTGCATGCATAGCTTCATTGACTATTTAACAGTTTTCTTGTACTGTATGCAGACATATTTTTTGCCATTCTGACCCTATTTGCATTATTAATCCTACTCTGCATCCTACTTAAGTTAGTTGCCATCTAAATGGTCACTTGGGTGATTCGACATCCCGTTACACTTATATAAGTAAATTAATTAGTTTCACAAAAGGGTAGGCTGCTAGATTATAAGGTTCCATTCTATTTTCCACTGCCATCCAGGGTGGTATTATTTCTAAACTGTACCAAATTGTATGGTAATGACCAGGAGTGGACTGACCATTTAAGCACTCAGGCACTGCCCGGGGACCCGGGGTCAGTAGGGGCCCCATGAAATGCTCCTGGTACCTTTTTATAGGCTTTTTTGGGTGTGCTTTGAGTGTGGGCAAGGACACAGGGGCCCCATGATCCCCTATTGCCCAGGGGCCCCATGAATTGTCAGTCCACCCCTGGTAATGACATGCTTTAAAAGTGCCACATATCAGTCTTCAACTAATAATTTACAAACCTGGGAATTCAAACTGAGCTAAGGTTAAAAAAAATGCATGCATGTCCTAAATCTGAAGCTCATTCTAAGCTGTCATTCTCATTACATATTATTCACACACTCCCCCCCATGTTTATACCTTATCAATTGTCTATCCACTATGGAGCCTTGAAATGGGGGGGAGCTAATCTTGACCTCTACAGGAAAAGCCAAGATTTGTAAATAATATCACCTACCTTTATTGCTAAGTGTGGAATCATCAAATATTTAACAAGAAATAGGAATTTAACTGCTTTCTTTGTGAACTATTATTGTGTATAAAGAAACACAACACTAAACAGCCACTTTTTAGTCTGCTCTCCTTGGTGGACACCTCATTGAGAAGCACTATTATCACCTGCCTAAAGCTAGGAATGTTTTGCGAAGCTAGAATATGTGTGATAGTCCTTTTGCATTGATTTTTTAATGCCAAAATACCCAAAAAATCAATAAAGTATTGTGCTGCTGTAAATTCCTCTAATCCTTTGCAGCAATGAGTATAGTAAACTGAAAAATCAATTAAAAAGACAAATAATGCATAATAATGAAACTATCTGTGAAAATTTGGGAATGAAGCCTGCTATCGTTCCAGCAGTAAAGACTCGTGATATCGATGCCACTCATGGCTTTAAAGATAAAGGAAATGTAGCCAAAACATCAGCCCTGGATTGAGGTTTTAGTTTTTGTCAATCCCAAAGACATTTCCGCTGAATGAACAATCAACACAAGAGCAGCTGTGTGAAAGGTCAGCCTTGTATCTTTAATAACTTTGCATATGATGCCGCAAGTGACCCTCCTCCCTCTTTAACCCTATTGATTTATACTATCCTGAGACTCATAACAATGCAATTCCATAAATACATCTAGAGAAAGCACAGTAACCTTTGTTCTCACGAATGTTTGGTTTAAAATTAGCCAAAAAAACAAGCTACACTATCCAGCAAAAGGGACATAATAAAATAAAACTTTACTTATAAACCTTAGTGAATAGATGTGGAAGGCACACAGCACGTTTATGAATTTCAGCAATGGAAGGTTTGACATGAATTAATCATGCTGGGTTCGTTGAAACTAATGTAAAGTCCCAAAACTGATGTAGAAGGAGGGAGAAAATTGAAGATCAGTTCCAGCCATTTTCAAGGCTAATCGGTAGGAATGGTCAAACAAAGGGTATGGGGAGCTGGGTGACGTGCCAATACAAGCAAAATAAATAAAATACAGTAGGGGGGGGGTTCTACTTTTGAAATGACTTTGAGCGTGACATTTGAAAAAACTAGTCCTTTCAATTACATGCCTGTGAGATGCCTTTTAGGCTATATGTGGCACTAAGGAACACTGGAATTCTTGCAGACAGTGTGAGCGACACTGTATTCTGGCATCACATATTTTGGATATGTAATTGATTTTTTAATTCCACCTTGTTGCTTGTCTTAAATCTTTCCCACCCAGCCCAGGAATTTCTTTAATAGGGTCTGTAAGACCTGTGGTGGAAAAGATTGGTGATCATGTGACCACTGTGATTGGCTGCCACACTGGTCACCTGATTGTGAGATGGTCCCGCTGGATACCAATTGTAAGCACAGACTGAGAGCTGTTTTTGACAACCCAGTCTCTGTGCTGGCAGTGTACAGCGAGCATGCTCTCAATCTAATTCATCGAATCTTGAAAACAAGGCATTTGTCTGCAACTTCTGTTTTTTTTAACAAATTTTAAAAGCCTGAATTAAATGGTGAATGTAGGGGACACAACAGATCTATAGTTAAAGTTTTACTTTTAACAAAGAATAAAGCTAAATCCTTCATATATATAAAAAATGGGCCAGTAGCAAAACAGTTTCATAGTATTGTTTGTGAACTTCTTTTTTGCAGTAGCACATTGTATTGTCTTAACAGTTTCATACAGAAACACAGTCCAAAACCACATGCCCACATCCCCGTATCCCCTATCATTTTAATATATTCCAAAAATAGACATCAGTTTTCTGTTTGGAATAAATTGGTCAGTGTCAGGAAAGTACGTGGATATTTGAATAGGCAGCAAATAGAAAGAGCTCTGCAGTGTGGACCTCTTTCAACGTATCTGCTGTCACCGGTACTACTGTGATCTGCAACATATCAGCCGTGGTAAACGTAACAGCCATTATGGTAACAAATGCATTCGCAAACACATGGCCCTGTGTCACAGAGCTCAGTGGAAGCAGTACCTCAATAGGACAAGTTGTCAGCACATTCTCCTCTTTTCTCAAGAGTGCATAGCAGCTACTTTTGTTTGGAGTGTTGCTAATTTGAAATTTTCCTTTTCCTCCTGAAAGAAGTATAGCAGCAGCTTTCTGCTATTAGCGTTCTGCTAATGTGCCCTTTTCCTTCTCATGCTCAAGAGTGCTTAGCAGCCATTTTTAGAGGACTGCTAATGCGCCCCTTTTCTTTTCCTCTGATGTTCATCCCACCATAGGAGGAAGATGGTTGGGGTGCTGATGGTGAGGAAAAAGAAAATATTCCTGGATTTTCTAATGCTGCTTCTCTGCCTGTTTTCTCCCCCTCTGCTGATCTCACCATATCCCCACCAACTTTCTATGTAGAGTTGGTGGAATTTTTGGTGGCTGCTATCCCAAGGGCAGTCCACAGACCTCTGCTCAGCTGCTAAGGACAAAGTACCATGGTGTTAGGTGATTAGCAGTAATTATTTTGCTCAGAAGGCCACACTCCAGCTGCCATTACTTTGCATAGAAAACCATTCCTGCCATCCACCAGTAGGGACGAGCTTTGGTTTGGGGACCATGAGTTTTACCCAGAGCCAGTTTAACAGAATTACCTTAACACTGTCTTAATAACACACCTCGCCCCATGTAGATTATATCTTTGAACATTACTAGAATCAGCGTTCTTTCTCCTTTACTGAGACCTCAAGGGTTAATAGTTTCAAATCTCAAAGCATACAGTACCACAGTTGCCATATCAAAAATTCTAACAATTATTCACATCAACATCATACATAATTAAAATTCACAGTATAAAGCTTACATAATGTTGTGCTTAAAAAAACTAATTAACACCATACCTTGACAGATCTTTAACATCAGTTCAGTAATTCTTAAAGTTCTTGTTGGGAGGACATCATATTTTGCACTTTCATTCACTGATTATGGTCTGGAGGAATACAGTACTTCTGTAAACACTGCCTCAGTCAGTTCATATACCCAGGGAAGCGCAATCCGCTGCTGTATTTCTTTACTCACAATACATTCTCTAACAAAGTTCAGAATATTTCCAATCCAAACCCAGCTTAGTTCTCCAAATGAACAAAATTACAGCTGCTGAAGACAGAAATCTTTCATTTAGTGGTGATATCACTGCCGACACTAAATGACAGCTTGCCACCAGCTTGTTTCAGATTGTAAACAAACAAGCAGGCAGCAGGCATCCTGGGTGACATCACTGACCAACTTTGGCCCTAACACATTTGGTTAATGACATCACCCAGGTCCCCCGATGCTGTGTTGACATTCCAGCAGAGCAAGGAATCGGTCTATTGTGACAGAAGTAGTGATGGGAAAAGATCATCGTTCTTGTCCTTTTGGTGATTGACTTTGGATTAACATTGATGGACAACATAATTGATATTGGATTGCCATTGAGAAACATTGTTTATTTATTTCATTAATATAGGGCTTTTTCGTGGTACAGCACTGACTGGCACTGTTAGGCGGCACTGATAGGCGGTATTGATGCACACTGACAGGTGGCACTGACTGGCACTGATAGGCGGCACTGATAGGTGGCACTGACTGGCACTGATGGGTGACACTGAAAGGCAGCTCAGATGGGCACCAATATGTGGCATTGATGTGCACTGGTAGGCACTGATATGTGGCATTGATGTGGCACTGATGGGCACTGGCAGGTAGCATGGATGAGCACTGACAGCTGGCACTGATGGACACTGACAGGGGGCACTGCTGGGGCTACACAAATCATCAGGGCACACTGATCATCAGTGCCCTGATGATCAGTGTACATGTCCCCTCTGAGGGATGCCGATTATCGGCTCTCCTCTGCTCTCGAGCTGTCAGCGTGACAGCTCGTGAGGAGAGAAATGCCAATAACGGGCATTTCCCTATTTACATGTGATCAGCTGTGATTGGACACAGCTGATCACATGACCGAGCCGACATCTTCGGCTCTTTCCATTGATCGGGGATCTGCTGTGTCCAAGGGGGCACCGCCGATCGCCACGCTGCGCGCTCCTGGAGCTGCACATGTGCAGTTAGAATGGGACGATGCCATATGACATCGTCCCTGAACGGGAGAACCACCTTGCGCCCGTCATTGTACTATATGGCGGGTGGCAGGTGGTTAATATAACGCAACTATTAGTCCCTCTCCTCATGCCAGGGTGTTACGTATGGTCCTGGACTCTGATCTTTCCTTTCACCCCATATCCAGTCCAAATCCTACCTCCTTAGCCTCTGTAACATTTCCAAAATATGCCCTTTCTTAACCAACTACATCACTAAGCTACCAATCTACTCATTTCACCTCATTAACCCACCTCTACGCAGCCTATTTCCCTTTCAGTCTATCATGAATGCTGCTGCCATACTCATCCACCTTACCAACTACTTAGGGTTCACCACCCCTCTCTGCCAATCTATTATCTGGCTTCTAATCACCCAACTAATAAAATTCAAAATATTAACAACATCTATAACTCTGCCCCCCTACATCAATACCAGTCTTGAATTGTACTGTAACTGTACTGTCTCCCTTTATTTTGTAAAGCACTGCTCAAACTGTTGGCCCTTTAGAAATCCTGTATAATAATATAATATTAGGCTGGCCACCCTCAACTTTGGGTTGACATTTGTTCCTGACACAGGAAATGTTCCCTTTTTGGGGCAGCATGTGACCACACAAAAGTACCCCCTATTATTTTCTTAGATCATTTTTTTGTGTGTTTGTGTGTGTGTGTGCACGAGTGTGTGTTTAAATAGTATAGGCATTTCAATTCTTTAATTTATCTTTTTAGAAATAAAAAAATGTGTTTTCCTTGTAAGGCCACCTATTCAGTGTTGAAGAAAATAAACATCTCCTAAACAATGGGTTTCTTGCAACATACAGCCGCCAGCACAAAGTTCATGATATTGTTTGAGATTGTAGTTCAATATATTGGAAGTTACAAGAGCACTGAATATTTATTAGGATCAACCAGTATTTTTCTATACTATCGCATTTTACCTGGTCATGGGCTTAGTCCACTAAGCCCACGAGTGGGTGAAATGCATTAGAGGAGCATGGCTTGGGAGGAGATGCAACTCAAGCCTACATGATACACACTGAACTGGGCGGCTTCCCAATGTGCACTTTTTCTTTCACAGTTCATCTATTAGGTAAATGGGCCATTTTAAAGTCAGTACACAGGAACATTCAGAATAACCAGGTTAAAGACTGTGGGGCTTGGAGCAGCGCCTTCTGTTTGACTAGGTCTGACTGGAAAGCTACATTATATTAATTTTTTGTTCTTGGGTTTAGATTTATTTTAAGCATCTCTGCATTGCTGGACTTTCTTTTTTTATATCACAATAGTAATTGTCACTGTGACAGACGACCTGGCACCCCACTTGAGTGCCTCCATCAGAGAATTGCTTCCTCGCCGCTGGGACACAGGACCAAGGTACTATAGCTGGGCATTGCACCCAAGGACTTCAGAAATAGGGGCAGTCCCCACATGAACAATAAAAACAAATATTACACATTGGGATAAACATCACTCACTGATTAGATAACGTGATAAAGTTGACACCAGACTAATCCCATCATGTAGGAACCTCCAGGAGGATTAGCCAACAGACAGGAAAAATAGATGACTCAATTAACTCAATTCACAATGGAACAAATACACAACGGTAAACACATCACACCTTAATAAACAGATTACAGCAAGAGACTTCAGGTAGTATTGAGTGGATTATATTAAAATCTGCTCTAGGAGGGGGTCTAGGAGGGGGTTAAAATAGTCAATGCTTGTCTGGGCATAGAGGCTCCAAATCTGTATCCGGGTCCTCCAGTTCTCAGAGTCTGTGATGCGGGCGCCCATGGTCAGTAGGCAACAGGCTAGCCTGCAGTCCCTTTAAAAGCCTGTGTCCCAGTTGGGTGAGTCACAGTCAGTGGCATCCCTAGGGGTGCGTTCCGCACCTGGTGACACCTACTGCACGGGGTGACACCAGACCCGCTCAACAAAAAGGTAAATTGTAAAGCAATCCAACGATCCCCGCAGGATGGATCCGATCCATCCAGCAGGGATCGTTGGCTTTCTTTACAACTTACCTTTTCTTGAAGCGGGTCTGGTGTCACCCCGTATAGGTTGCATGCCGATGATCCTGCAGGGATCGTCGGCATGCAAACTATACGGGGTGACACCGTTGTAGCGGCAAGATGTGTCTCCCATGTAGATGTCCCCCACTGAAGCAAATGCGCATGTCCCGGTTTCAGGCATGATCAATCGATGATAGAACTACTGCTATCATCAACTGATTGTGCCTGAAACCGGGGCATGTGCAGTTGCTTCAGGGGGGACATATCTACGTGGGAGACACATCTTGCCGCTACACCTGGACCCGCTCCAAGAAAAGGTAAGTTGTATAGAAAGCCGACGATCCCCACAGGATGGATCGGATCTGCGGATTGAGCATAATGGATCGGAGTCCGATCCATTATGCTCAATCCGCAGATCCGATCCATTCTGCGGGAATCGTCGGAGGGGGTGTCACCAAATGTTACCGCACCGGGTGACACTGACCCTAGGGACGCCTCTGGTCACAGTCACTACTTCTATCAACAGCAATTTGGAAATATACAGTATGTAGGCAAGTAGAAATGAACTAAAAAAGCTCAAACTGTGAAGTGCTTCCATTCCCACAGCAGAGAAATGTAAGAAACTTAAAACTTTTTCCATGACTTGGGCTTGACCTTTAAAAGCATAGTATATATTACTTTGCTAAGTATTTCACATAAAACATATTAACTTGTGTGTTTCAATAAATAATGCCGGCCTGGACATTTTTAGAACATTTTCACAATCACAGCAAATATTACTTCAAAGCTTAAAAATGTACACCTCCAGCTACTATATTGTTGTAACAAATCATTTTATTCTAGTGGAACATGGTAGATGCTGCCTGCTTTCAAAACCATTTTACTGGACAAAACTTCATTTTTAATTTGAGTTATTTATATGCAATTTTTCAACCATAAATCTCTAGCTATCCCCTGTCTGATGTTTATGGAACTTAAGCTTCGGTACAAGTACGGAGCTCACCAAACAAAGAAAATCAAAACACATTTATCTAAAAATCCATACTGTAAACACAGACTTTTCAATTTGTCTGTGTGGATTTCTTTCACTATCTCAGTACCAACTGTGGCATTAGTGTTTAATTATTTGCATACTTCTGATGCCCTTTATCAAATGTCAGATCTCAGAATATTATTATTGTTGTTAAAGGGCTCAGAGGCCACATAGACACAGTTATTGTGAAGTGCTGATTCTACTTCTTCATTCCTTTACCTTGGAATTGTGCACTGTAGATAGAGCTGCTATACATAAGCTGAGACTACTGGAAAGCCAATATACTGTTGGCTGTGGTCAGGAGAAGCACACGGCAGCTCACACATTATGCTTCTATCAGAAACACATTTCCTTGTGTAATAAAATATTCCAAATTGCTGCCCTACCTTCTATTACCATGCAGGGACAGCAGCTACTGTCAGGGCTCATATGAGGAGGCCCACCAATATCCCTGAGTTGAAGCTCTTTTGTACAGAGAACAGGGCTAAAATTCTTCATGCAGGACTCATCAACAGTTACTAGAAATGCTTTGTTGCACTTATTGGTGCCCAAGTGGCCACGCAAGTCACTGATATGACACAAATATCTATAGTTTTTTGGACTATTTTTCTTAGTAAACACAGTAAATGAAGAAGTATTTTGTCTTTGCTTCCATGGTATAATCGAGTTCTTGTCATTTAGTTTTTGGACTTATGTGAAAAAAAGATTGATATTGATGCTTTAATGCAGGGGTCTCCAAACTTTCTAAACAAAGGGCCAGTTTACAGTCCTTCAATCTTTAGGGGGGCCAGACTGCGGCCAGCGGCAGTAGAAAAAGTCATGGTGTCAGTGGCAGTATAAAATGCCCCATAACTGGTGGCCTTTGATCCCCATCTGCATGGAGCAGCCTCTGTTAACATACCGACAGGGGACACCCTTGCATTCGCCTTTGCGTGTGAGCACAGGGAGGGGTTGATTTTTTTTATTATTTATTTTGCTTTTTTATTTTTACACTGTCCTTTTTTTTTTATCACTTTTATTGTTATCACATGGAATGAAAATATCCCCTTTGATAGTAATAGGCAGTGAAAGACCCCAGATTTCTCAGAAAAGAGTACCCTTTTTTGGAAATTAGACACCCCAAGGAATTTGATAAGAGGCATGATGACTATTTTGCAGATATAATTTTTTGCCACAGGGTTTTGAAAAATAAAAAAATAAAAAAAAAAGTTTTTCTTTCCTATTTTCCAAAAACTTTTGGCAACAAATTAAATCTGCAAAATACTCAAAATGTCCCTTAGCAAATACCTTGGAGTGTCTACTTTCCAAAAAGGAGTAATTTGGGGAAAGGGAGGTGCTTCTATTATTCTGCCATTTCAGGGCCAACATTAGAAGCTTATGCCACACATCACCCACTCTTCTAACCACTTGAAGACCAAGTCTTTCCTGACACTTTTTGTTTAAATGAAAAAAAAATTTCTTTTGCTAGAAAATTACAGCCATTTTATTTACAAACATAACAAATAAATAACATTACATAAACATAACAATAAACAATTTTGACAATGTAACCAGAAGGTGGTCTCTAGGTGTCCTTAAAGGCACAATATATAACTACACTCATTCATGTACTCTGCATCCCAAGCAACTTTAAGACGTTACAAAGCCATAAGTTCTTGCATTTTCCCCCAGGGAACCTAGCGTCTGGGAGAACCACCAATGACCAAGCAAGCAGTAGCACCATTCCCTATATGGACCCTCAGTTTTGTAACAATTCAAATATTCACTCCCCACCCCCCTGCCAAGACCCCCTGACATGCCAAGCTGCTGTGACAATGTTTCTCCTTAGGTCATAGTTGTAGTAAAAAAATACCACCCTTCAACCCC